TGTGCGCGCAATGCAGAGTTAATTTCAAGATGTACTAAGATCAAACTTAGAAAGCATCATATTTTTCCGAACTTAGGGAACTATCTGCAAGATATCTCAAATTGAAGGAATGCCATCGGTAAGAATAATATACAAGAATAGAAACAACATTATTGAGAAGATTTTAGAACAACCCAATCTCACAACACAGAAATCCTTGAAGAGGAAAGAGAGAGAGAGGGACACTCATATCAAGAAAGAAAGTTGTCCTACATACCTTCTTGAAAAACTAGCTATGTTTTCCTGAATTCTTACGACTTCGTGGTGATTAACTCTACCTTCAGTAGGTCTCCAAAAATCGAGATAACATGTATTATAGTGATAATCCAAAGCTTATTCACACTAATTCTTACTAGAATCGCTTCTAATTCAGTTTAGTCTACTTAGAAACTCTCAAGGGAGGTTTGAGAGCGTTTTGGGTGGTTTAAAGTGGTGACACTCTCTAGAATGAAAGAGAAGGAGCTACATTCACCTTTTATACTTATACCAAGTCTAGGAAATTCCGCCACTCCACATGCACAATGGGTCGCCCTGCCCAGGTTGCAGCACCGAGGGATATCTGGCTTTAGCCTAATAAATCGTGTAATCCTCTTCTATCCTCATATGTGTCGCTGGCCGATTGTCCTTGCTAGAAGCTAAACTTTCCAATCTTTAACTCTATGCGTGGGGAAAAGTGTGGGGTGTAACATCATCCCCTTTGGAACATTCGTCCTCAAATGTTGAATCGTAGTCACTCCTAACAAACTTCTTTAGTCATGTTGGGTTGTGCCTGCCATATTAGTCTCATTGTTGTCTCCTGTAGCGAGGAATAAATGGGGTGTATGAGCTGTGAGTAAGGTGTGCATATGCCTCTGTATTCAGACGGGAGTGAGGTGAGAATGAGCTTGTGTGATAGAGAGAAAAGAAAAGAGAGGGGCAGTGACTAGGGTTGATTCTAATGGGGGATCCGTCTCTACTCCTGAAAGAGATGGCAAGGCTGCCCTTTTTGTGTATGAAATTGTGAGGGTTTTTGGTGAATGGGCTTGGGTTGGCGGATGATTTTTTGGGGCGAGAATTGGGCTGATGCAAATGCCTGGCCCAGTTGTAATGAAGAACAAATATCCCCCTTTCCTTCTTTCCTTGTATTTCAAAATTAAACCATTAATTAAAACATCCAATTTCAAATTGATTTTGCAAAAATGGCCTATTTAACTAATTGAATCTAAAAATGCAAAAACAAAGCAAGAGTGATTGGTATGTATTTTTTTTTTCTTGATTTCATGTATTAATTATGTGCTTAATGTGTAACTAAATCCAAAAAATATAATTTAAAATCTAAAATGCTATGAAATTAAGATTTGAACATTGTTTATGATTTTTTATGATTTACGATATTCCTAACCTAACATGCATAAACAATGCGAATAAATGCAAAACCAATAAAGAAAAACTCCTAAAGTTCATAAAACAATTAAAATTATTTTTGGATTATTTTTTAGGAGTAATTTCTTATGTGGGCAAAATTAGGTGCTCACACTATGAAAACGGAAAAATGATGAACACAACATACGCCACTAGTAGTCTAAGTCTAAGACAGAACACTATCAGACTAGCCCAACCCCCAAAATAAAGAAGAAAAACGCTCGACTACCCCTACCCTTCAACCTTAATGCTCGATCTCCACATCTTCCTATCAAGAATCATGTCCTCGGAGATCTGAAAATTAAGGCTCTACCACTGCAGATAAAAATTAAGCTCGTATAAGAGGTGACTGGAGGACATTTGTGGTATTGGTAACTGGTAAGTACGTTGATGCAAAAACCAGTAATCTCTTTGTTTATATTTTTATTTTGTTGTTCAAAACTAAAAACAACATTGGAACTGATGTCTTGACTAATAATGTAAATCCAACATTATGTCATGTACATATCAAGGACCACTATAAAATTTGCAGTTTCTAGACCCACTGCGCTTCACACTGGATTATTTATATTCCTTCTAGAAGTACCACTTGTTTTTATATAATAATCTGATTATTTTTGTTTTGAAGAAATATAATTTTCATTAATTTATCCTAACATTACCACTTTAGTATTTTAGCCTTTTATATTATTGTACGTTTTAAACTTTTTTGGTAATGATAAACGGATCATAATGTGAGGTATCTATCGATACTTATTCGCTAAAAAATTATACAGTGTACGTGATATATATATTCGTCTGTTTACCTTTTTATATTTTGACGTTTCTCAATGAAAATCTTAACTAAATTAACGACTAATTGAAAAAGCTTGTAATGCTGAAGAAATGTCATATATTTAGACTAGAATAACAAAACTCAAGAAGCAAAGGTCTTTGACAGATCTTTTACACATATCCCATGCTAAAATGAAAAGGGGTTCATCAGATTAAAGAAATCTCAAAGAATTCCTTTTAACTTGCGAATCCATTAGTCTTCACCACAGCACTTGTTGCAGACTGGGGGAATCACCTCTATGTTGCAGTCACAGCAGAATTTCGGGCATTTGTTTGTGCATGCTGCGAATACAGAAAATTTAAGTTTTTTTTAAAATATAAAGTTTATCTTTTGAAAAATCGACTTAAAAGGAAAGAACGCCGTTTAAACTGAAAATGAAAGAATAGTACGGTAGACAATAACATCTAATGCTCGTCCATGCTGCAAACGGCTGACGACAATCGGCTTTTGGGCATTAGATTTAGCTCCAGCTTCAACCTCCACACAAATTATGGAGGCTAACAGAACAAGAATAGAGGCGACTGTTAACAACTTTGTCATGGTTTCACGAATCCAATAAAGAAAACAATCAGAAAATTACAGTTTAATTTAGAGTGTTGGAGATATTTTGTTTAACATGACCAGAAGTACTACTCTATATATACAAATGCATGTGCTCTGGAAAATAGTGAAAGAAATGGCTCAAGATTGAGTGAATCTTTCATACAAATAGAATTGACCAATATAATTAGTATGTAGATAGACCTAAGAAAAATAATGCAAGAAGTTCATTCACACAAGATAATAAGTTAGTAATTAATGCTACAAACTAGAGCAAGATATGACCAAAATAAACTTTCATTAATCATATTTTATCGATCTCTTCTTGGATAGTATTCATACCTGGCAAATTAATTGACCATTGTCACTCCCATTTTTCCCCGTACAAACCCCATTAAAAGTTATTATGGTTAAGTGGTTTTTCAAATTAAAGTGACTATTTGAGAAGGAATTATTTATTTAACTTGAGTCGTCACTTGGAATTGAATTTTGTTATTCCAGGTCACCTTTTATTTGAATTTCTAATCAAATGGAAGATTTGACTCCTTATTTATGCTCCGCAAAAATAAAAAACTGAATAAGAAATTCTATTGATCGGGAAAAAGGGTGAGGTACCCCTCGAATCGTGATTCTAACACAATCGTAAAACTTGATGTAAATTATTATTGGATAAAATGGTGTTTGTTAGTTTTCAAGTCTTACTTATGATCCACTTTTATTGTTAAACTTTTATCAGCCTCAATTAAGACGAGGCTACAACTCTAGCCTACGCTAACTAAGCGGGCGACCTTAGCTTATGTATCACACCTAAAGATTGGAGTCTACTCGTCTTAATTAAAACAATGACGATCTTTTATTAAAGTGTCTAGGTCAAGCCGCAATCTTGCCATTTTATTTGTATGTCTCTATGTAAGGCAAAAATATCCGCATTCTTGGTTAGGACGGTATATTATTCGTCATTATTTGGCCTAACATTAAACTATTTGATTATTTGCTTTGGCAAGAAAACGAGCCAGCTTATTATGAAAGAGCATGGGCCAATGCCTTCAAGACCAAACAAAGAAACTTAAAGCCCAAATCTGATTCTATAAACAGTACCCCACGGCCTAGTGAAGCTAATAAATAATGGACCACTACTTTTCTTTTACTTTTTACTCAACAATGGAAGACTTACGTCAATGCAAGCTAAGCAACTAAATTCTACATTTAATTAAAATAAAACATTTTCCATTCGATAATCAAAAATATCAAGGTAAACTTCAAATCATTATTCACATAATCATGTCAACGGGAAATCATGCATAAAAATAAAAGGATAGAGAAAAAGCTTGTACCTTTATTAAATCTCTCCCACAGAGTAAGCAAAAAGCTTTTGACCCAGACTTGACTAGCGAACAAGATTACTCGGCCGGAGAAAGTAACCTCAATGACCTCGGAAAAACTTTACCGACGAGCTCGAGTCAACTCGGTTGCTTCTCGTTCCAACCAATCTGGAAGTGTTTGGACGGTGCAATAGAGTTTTTAGTGATGCTTAGATGGTTTCAGGTGGTGTTGATTTGGAGCTTGTTTGTCGGCAAAAATGGAGGTGACGACGGCAGTTTTTACGACCGTAAAAGATGGTGAAGACTATATAAGCATTTAAATTTTATTGGACTTAAATTCAATAAAATAATTTGGAATATATATTTTTTAAAAAGTAGTCCAAAATTCGAATAAATTTTATGGGCTAATATAATTGTGTTAATTATATAAGTTCAATATATGTAGATTAAATAAATAAACCAAAATCTATTGGGATTAGCCCGTTTAATTGGGCAACAAAGGATGAGCCTGCTTTATTCAGCCCAAAATGTCATCTTCCTAGAGGCTCAGTTTGGTCCACATGTCAAATGACATGGCATGACAAGTCAAACGGAAGAGCCAATAAATTACGCCACATGTCAAAGCGACATAACATGCCAAGTCAAATTAAAAAGCCAATAAAATTATGCCACGTGCACAAGTGATATATTTTGGCCAATCAAATGCGACCTTGTCACTGCTTCAATTTGATTGGTTAGTGATTCAAGTCAACTAGTTAAATCAAAGAAAAATACTTTCTCCTTATCATAATTCTTTTCTCCTACAACTATAAATAGGGGTTCTCATAACTTAGAAAAGACACCAAAAATTATAGCAAGAAGCACGAGAGAGCTGGTGGATCAAACGACGCAAGTTTCTCTACAACCTTCAAATAATCAAGTTCAAGTTCAAGAACGATGAACAGTCAACGTTCAAGGAGTACGAGTTCAAATCATTTTTTCGTGCTAGTTTAACTCAAAATTATCGTTCGTGGCAAAAAAAAATAAATTCAAGATCACGCTCAAATGCTCTTGAATTTATCTTAGAAAAGAAGAATCAGAGGAGTTATAGAGATTGTAACACTCAAATTATTTAAAATAAAAAACAAAAATTATTGTAATATTTTTTAGTGTTGTTATTTTCTTGACGCAAATTTTATTGTCTATAAATTTGACACGCTCGCGGGACAATCTCTATCTTTTATCTCATCTTTTCGATCATCAAAGTTCAAGAACAAAGAAATAACTCCAAAGAAAATCAACTCCAAATCAGCGACCTCTAAAGCTGCTAATTCCATGTCACGACCCAAAATTCCACCAAAGGTCATGATGACGTCTAACCCACTCGCTAGGCAGGCCAACACCCAGTCAATAATAATAAAAGCAAATTATAAAGCCATTAACTATTTTACGATATAAATAATAAGGCATAATAAATCTCGAATAAATATCACAAATACAAAATCAAAGACAAGGCCTAAACACGATCACAACTGTCTAACAAACACCCAAAATTCGATATCACTACATCACGGGCATCTAATAAAAGTAACTCATATCAACTGAACGAAGCACTGTCCGAAAAAGAATACATCGACAAAAATAAATAAGTAGGAAAGGGGGACTCTATGTGCTGCGATTCGAATTAAGTATAGCATCTCACCACGAAGTCTCCAAATAAAGTATTCCTCAACTCAATAGTACCGTTATACCTGTCTCAGAACCTGCACAAAAATATGCATAAGTATAGTATGAGTATAAACCACAGTACCCGACAAGTATCAAGTCTAGCCTCGAATAAGTAGTGGTGAGGGGTCGACTCTGACATCTACTAACAAATCAATA